CCCCAGCCCCCCCCCCCCATGTCCTACCTGACCTCAAGTTTCCTCATATGGCAATGGGGTGCATGAATAGGTGTCCAGGCTGGACCATCCAATTGGCCTCAGTACCACCCTGCCCACAGTGTTCCGGGCTCGAGTGCTGGGCCACCTCCGCCAGGCCCAGGAGACCCGCTATGAGGTGCATGTGCAGCTTGTCTACAAGAACCGCTCGCCACTGCAGGCCTTCGAGTATGTGTGGGCGCCTGGCCGCTGCCCCTGCCCACCAATGGCCCTCCATGGAGAGTACCTGCTGGCTGCCCAGCGCCTTGTCAGCCCCGATGGCACTCAGGACCGGCTGCTGCTGCCCCATGCTGGATATGCCCGGCCCTGGAGCCCTGCTGAGGACAGCCGTGCACGCCTGGCTGCCAGACATTGCCCTGTCTGAGCCCCCAGACAAAGCCCCACCACACACAGCAAGAAAGATGTGCCTGACCAGGCTCAAACTCAACCTATTTCCTCTCTTGCCTGGCTTCCAGGGAGCTCAGAAATATCTCCCACCACAACTATGTGACTCTCCCTCACACACACTTATACACTTTTGCATGCAGTTGGTCAGATCCACTATCACGAGTAGCCAGGCACTGATGAGAAAACGCTGAATTGTTTCTTTAACTCATTTCCTTTCTCACCCTGGCTGCCAGGAAACTCATAGCTGCCTTATACTCAAAAACTTTGTGTCTGCTTTTATTCCCCTTGTTTCACACTCACTTGCTTAGGGACACTCTCACAAGCAAGCAGGGCCCATAGGAAGACATGCCTAAGGAGACATTATGATGTATCAGTTTCCCCTCTTGCCCTGGCTATCAGGAAGTTCATCACTATTTAACTCGCTGACACTCCATGCTCTCTCTTCTCACTGCCACCTATCCATACACCCTAATGTATTCAGAGACATTGTCACAAACAAGAATACCCCCTAGAAGGCATGCCTAACCAGGCACTGTAATGTATTCATTTCACCTTTTGTGCTGACTACCAGGAAGTTCAGAGATAATATTTTTTTTTGTTTCAATTTTGTATTGATTTCAGGTGTACAGCTTAGTAGTTAGACAATCATATACTTTACATAGTGTTCCCTTTGATATTTTCAGTACCCAACTACGTAGTTATCATACATAGTTATCACAATATTATTGACTATATTCCCTGTGTTTTACTTTACATCCCCATGACTATTGAAGATAATCTTGACAACCTCAGCAATTCTGGCTGGGTTTCTTCCAGTTCACACTGTTCACCCCTTTTATATTCTTATTTAATTTTTATAAGCATTTTTTTAAAAAACAAGGGCAGCCCACTTACACACACTTAGCCGTAGAGATGTGAGGATGCACTGGTAGTCAACTCTGCTCTCACAGGGTATACACAGGGGATGTGATCTCTCAAACCTCATCCCCTCTTCCTGGTCCATCCCCTACCTCCCCTCAGCATGTCTGACCCTTTGTGGGAGGTAAGGGCAGGAAATATATGAGGATGGGGTGAGTAGGGATAAACATGGCTTTTATAGGCCACAAGTCCCTTCTCCATGCCTGCTTGGGGGCCACACATTCACCTCTGGCCTCCTCAAAAAGGAGGCAGTTAGAGCCCCTGCCCTCAGGCTATCTTCATCCTCCTGCGTTGTCCTGATAGATTCTCTTCATTTATTCTTCTGGCGCAAGAGGGCAGGCCCCAGCTGTATGAAAATTGAGGGTGTCTGTGGGGTGGCCCAGCAAACCCCCACTCTGGATGGGGGTGCAGCCTTTTGCCTCTCCACTCTGGATGGGGTATCTCACACTGTCATTTTGGGACAATCTGCTCTTCTGTACCATCATAATCGTTTTTCCCTGGAGCATGGATGCTGGCAGTGGGCAAGGGGCACACAGTATGTAGGTCTCAGAGCTGGATGGGCTCAACCCCTGACTTTGCTGGTGACCTTAGACCAGACCCATCCCCTCTCTGGGCCTTAGTTTTCCCATCTGTGAGTACCCTTTCAGCCCTCCTTGGCTCTGACCATGGGAATCACACTCTTCTGGATTCCTTCCCTAGCCTCTCAGTTCACTCATGCATTCCTCCAACGGGTATTTATTGAGTGCCTACTGTATGCCAGGGGCCCAGCAGTGCCTGGGCCGTCCCAAGCCTGGCTCTGTCGTCTGCAACAAGTGCTGAAGCTGGAGGATCCTTGGAGTTCCAACTCCCCTGGGAAAAGTGGGGTGCAATTCTGGAGGGAGGTGTGGGGCCTGGGCGCCCCCTGGTGGCAGGATAGGGGAAAGGTAGTCAAAGCACCCGGTACCTGCAGTCCCAAAGGGTCCTATGCTTATGTACCCACTTCTCTCATCTGCGCTTGCCTTCCTCAGGAACGCCTCTCCCCACCCACCGACCTTACCCCTGCACCCACCTACGGCTCCATTCCTCCCACCATTAGCCCGAGGTTGTCCCCTCTGCCCCCCTCTGGTGTGGGGCTATATCTGGGAATGAGGGTCTCCGGCCTTCTCAGCCACAGAGCTCCTAATCCTGAATCATCTGTACGGGCTGAGGAGAGGTGTTCGTTCCTAGGAGGGGCCAGCACAGAGTCCCCTGGCAGGCGGGATGGCCTGTGGCCTTGTGATCAATGACTTCCCTAGCCTCTTCACAGCTCCTCCTGTAAAGATCTTGTAACACTCCCAGTAAACATCACATTGTTTTAATTTGCTCTTTAGCTTTAAAAGAATCTAACCATTTAAAGAGAGAAGAAAACATTGCCATTCTAAAGATACTCGAATTCAGCAAAGTGGTAGTTCAGGGCAGAACTACCATTTGCACTTGCCAAGCAAAACCATCATTGTTTCGTTGTTTCACATTGAAACACTAATATTCCGGGGGGTTACATAGAATGACAGAAACAAAGTGAATCGTCGTTTTTTCCTCTTTATAGTTCCCAGCCCTTTTTTATTAGTTACTGTGTTCCTTAAGGGATACTCAGTGCCCATCTGGGTTAAAGACACACACATTGCCCGAAGTGACTACAAATGGGTACAGGCACGGACTTCCTCTTGAAGGAAGCACATGAGGGGCATCCTTGCTTGTCCAGAACTGGAAACTCTCCAAGTTGACTTCCCATAGATGTCAATGTTTATTAAAAGATTAATTAAAACAGGCATGTTTGAAACTTGCACACATATTAATAAAACAACAGTAATTGTAATTATTTCATTAGCCCCACAAAAGATTGTTTTCGGCCCAGCCAGCGTGGTTCAGTGGTTGAACATCGACCTATGAACCAGGAGATCACAGTTCGATTCCCAGTCAGAGCACATGCCAGGGTTGCGGGCTCGATCCCCAGTGAGGGGGCGTGCAGGAGGCAGACGATCAATGACTCTCATCATTGATGTTTCTACCTCTCTCTCCCTCTCCCTTCCTCTCTCTGAAATCAATAAAAACATATTTTTAAAAAAAGATTGTTTTCACCCTGGCCATTTTGGCTCACTGGTTAGAACATCAACCCTCGGACTGAAGGGTTTCAGGTTCAATTCCCGTTCAAGGCACATAACTTGGTTGCAGGTTAAATTCCCAGCCCCAGTAAGGGCACATGTGGGAGGCAACCTATTGAAGTGTCTCTTTCACATTGATGTTTCTCTCTCACCCCCTCCTCCCTCCCACTCTCTAAAAACCAATGGAAAAAATATCCTCAGGTGAGGATTTAAAAAAAAAGAAAAAATTGTTTTCAACAATATTTCTGAACGCCAACTCTGGGGGTCAGTCATGTTTTTCCTTTCTAATTCTCTGCAGAGGGCACCACTCTGTCTGTTGTCTGCTCTTCTCTCACTGGCCCTGTACCAGACAGCTGACCCCTGTACCAGACGGCTGGCACATGTGCACTCAAAGAGCTGCAGAAAGCCCTGGACTGTCTGATAGCCCACAGGGTTAGATGTGGGCATACAGGTGAGGTTGGTAGAACCACTTTGGAAAACAGTTTAAGCATGTCTTCTATAGATGAATGCAAATCACGGTAGTTAGATTTATCCGCATCCCAACCCCTAGAATCTGTGAATGGGATCTTATTTGGAAAACGAGTCTTTGCAGGTATAATTAAGGGTCTCAAGATAATTCTGGATTATCTGGGTGGGCACTAAATCCAATGACAAGTGCCCTCATAAGAGACATACAGAGGAGAGACAGAGAAGACAGTCATGTGCCCAGCTGGAGTGGCTCAGTGATTGAGCATCAACCTATGATCCAGGAGATCTCGGTTCAATTCCTAGTCAGGACACATGCCCGGGACTGCAGGCTTGATCTCCAGTAGGAGGCGTGCAAGAGGGAGCAGGTCAATGACTCTCATTATTGATGTTTATATCTCTCCCTCTCCCTTCCTCTCTCTGAAATCAATAAAGACATTAAAAAAGAAAAAGAAAAAAGGCAGCCATGTGACAATGGAGGCAGAGACTGGGGTGATGAGGCCACAAACCAAAGGAGGCTGGAGTCCCCAGACGCTGGAACTGGTAGGAAGGACCCTCACCTGGAGTCTCAGGGGGAAGCATGGCCCTGTAATACTGACTTCTGGTCTCCAGAATGTGAGAGACTAAATCTCTGTTGTTTTAAGCCCCCACTGTAGGGTAATTTGTTATGGTCACCCCAGGACACTCACAGGCTCACCCTACACTCTCCAATCTCTGATAGGTATATGCCCCCAGAGAAATGAGAACTGCACTCACCAAAGACCAGTTCTGGAATGTTCCTAGCAGCTTTAGTCACAATAATTCAAAATGGGAAACTACTCAAATGCCTGTCAACAATGGAATGGGGCAAATAAACTCTGGCCTCCCACAGAATGAAATGCTATTCACTAATGAAAAAGAGCAAAATACTGATAATTCCCACAATAGTGGTGAGTTTGACAGACACAGCTGAGTCAGACAGGAAAGAACAGAAGATACCATTGAGGGTGGGGAGCGACTTCGAGGGGCTGGCCCTGTTGCCTTACTAGGTCTGAGTCGCTGGTTGCACTTTTATGTATGTTTAAAAACAAAACAAATCTGAGGGGCTAAAGGTCACTGTTCCCACCTGGGGAGACAGGTGTGTGTCCTCCCCACCTGTACTCCCTGGTGAGCTGACCACGGTGGGAGCCAGGGACAGCCTCTGAGCACCTGTTTCACTGCCCCCTGGGACGGCCGGGTGTGGGGGATGCCAGGTGCAGAGCGAGCCCAGCACTGCCATCTCCTCCCCCAGACCATAGCCACACCACATTTTTCAAAGGTCTGGACCAGCGATAATCAGATTCCTAGATCCCTGTCCCCACTACCCATGTAGACCTCTTAACAGGATGGGGGTTCATTAATGATTACCTTTTATCCGTTTCTTCCTCCCTCTTAACAAACCTGACATCCCCGAGGAAAAGCCAAAGTCCTCACCATGCCTTCCAGGCACATGCAT